ATAGAATAGAATAGAACAACTTGCCTCCAGATGTTGTAAATGCTCCAAAACTGGATGTTTTAAAGAAGAGATTGGATAACCATTTGTCTGAAATGGTATAGGGTTAGGGTTCCTGCCTAAGCAGGGGGTTGGACTAGAAGACCTCCAAGGTCCCTTCCAACACTGTTATTCTATTCTATTCTATTCTATTCTGTTCTGTTCTATTCTATTCTATATAGAAATGTATAAAAATTATACATTTAAAAATGCCTATCTCCAATAACATTTTAGGAGCAAATTTAGAATAGGTAGAACCCTACAGTATTTAGGAAGACCTAATACTAATGGTTTGCCCAAAGCTTGACCTAGACAACCTCTTTAGAAAAATGAGTGACTGAAGTATGGTCTTTTTCAGTTGAATCTACGTAACTGAATTTGTATCTTTTCTCATTTCTTCTTCTACATCTTCCTTATCACAGTACAATAATTAACCTAATTAATTATTAATCTAAGGGAGGCTTTTCTGCATGAGGTCTGGCTACACCATGACAATGTGACCAATTAAAGAAATGCCCTTTTCATCTATTTGCCTCGTTCATCATGTTGATTGATTATACCAGTGCTTTTCGGTCTCAGCAACTTTAAGAAGGCTGCTGGCTAGGGAATTCTGGCAGCTTAAGTCCACACTTCATAAAGTTGCTGAGGCTGAGGAGCACTGGATTATACCTGTATAGCCACCCATGAACACAACATGGATTTCCTACCCACTATTCAAAGCACTGTGCTCCAAATCTGTCACAGCAGAAACATCTGGAAAGGAATCCTTTCTTTGGTTTCAAAAATATTGCAAGAGGAAGGCACCATTTTAGAAGAGGCATTCTGTCAGTGCTTCAAAGGAGTCCAGAAAAAAGTACTTTCAAAAGTACTTCCCCCTCCTCTTCCTTGTGTTTAGAGAGAAGAGAATTAGAAGGGACCCTTCTGAGATGTTTTCTGCCCTCCCTCCCTCCTTTAGACTTAGATTTATCAGACAGTTGTCTAGGCTACTTGTTCTTCCTTCTGTGTCCCAAGGTTATTCTCACTGCATGTTACACATTCTCTTTTGTATTTGAGAGATGGCAGAAGAGCAACAAAGACAATTAAGAGTCTGGAGGCTAAAACATATGAAGAACAGTTATGGGAACTGGGCATGGCTAGTCTAGTGAAAAGAAGGACCAGGGGAGACATGATAGCAGTCTTCCAATATTTGAGGGATGGCCACAGAGAGAAAGGGGTCAAGCTATTTTCCAAAGCACCCAAAGACCAGTCAAGGAATAATGGAGGGAAACAAGGAGAGATTCAATCTAGAACTAAGGAGAAATGTCCTGACAGTGAGAACAAACAACCCATGGAACCGCTTGCCTTCAAAAGTTGTGGGAGCTTCATCACTGGAAGCTTTCAAGAAGAGACTGGACTGCCATCTGTCAGAAATAGTGTAGGGTCTCCTGCTTGCGCAGGGGGTTGGACTAGATGACTTACACGGTTCCTTCCAACTCTGTTAATCTGTTAAAAAAACTGTTCTGCAATGACTACCACTATTCAGCTTTTTCAAAAGATTTGTATAGAAATAATTATTCACAGCAAAACCTGCTTGTATTCTCCATTCAATTCAAGCAATTGAAGTAACCAAAGTATCCCTAACACCTTATTTACCTGGATAGTTACGACAGCCACCTGCAGTGCTGCCTCGCACCCATTGTCCTTCTGTGACGGAAACTGTCCATGTGTAAAGCTTATCAGCCTCAAGGGTATCGGGGGTGAGATTACAAATCTCCAACTTTGTGAAATATCTCAGAAAATCTTGGAATGATATCCTGCAGAGTGGGAAACAAGGACATTACCAATGTCACAAGATAGCAACAACATGGTGCTCTTCATATGATTGCTGCTTGTGCACTCAGGTTAGGATGTCAAAAGCAAAAATGAAAGGATTCTTCAGAAAGAAATGCATATTTTTTTAAAAAGACAAAGAAACTTGAGTATTTACCAAAACTCTCCATCCTCTGCAATTTTATGTTGCAAGCGGACCTTCTCGGCATTATCAATGTCATTCCATTCATCTGAGCTGCAAGAAAAGGAAGAACCTTTTTCAGCTGATAAAAATGGAATTACTTCTTCAATCATAAAGCAGAAAGAGGTTTTTCAGTTCATAATCTATGAACAAAGTTTATATTTTATTCATTTAGTAAATACTGAATTTAGTTAAACTGCTTCTTTTCTACTTCATTAACTGCAAATTCAAATTGTTTTTCCTTACCTACAATTATACCACTGACTAAAATATTTCAAATTATCATCCTTTTAAACTTAATAGTCTCAATTCTTTTAGCTTCTCTGGGATTTTTCTCTGGAAAAAAAAGCTCCTAGCTTCCATGTTTGTTTTCAGGCCACTTGTGATTTCCCCCCCCCTTTTTTTTTGTCTGAGTCTCTCTCTCTCTCTCTTTCTCTCTGTGTGTGTGTATGTGTGTGTGTGTGTGTGTGTGTGTGTGTGTGTGTGTAGGTCTTAGACTTAAAGCTTTAAGATGCTCAGAATTGCGTGGAGTCATTCTGACTAAATTGTATCTCTCTATGTATGCATCAATAAATAATCACTTGAACTGTAAAAACTGGTTTCAGTTTTCATTCTGCAACCCAAATACTTAGGGGTGAAATTTCTGTTAATGAAGTTTACTTACACAAACCTCAGTTGACTACTCAAAAATTATGCTTCCCGTGGAATCTACTGTATATCAGAAAGTATGCTCTCTTAGATAAGAAAAAATATTGAAGGGGTAAATATGTGTATACACACAAACAGACAACATACTATTCTGCTTTATTTAAATATACATATATATTATTGAATGACTGAATTAAGAATTTGCAAAATGTATATACTTGATCCTGCCATCCTTATCATATTTAAAATAATTGTCAAGCTTTGTTAAAGAACAGTCTTAAAAAAATAAGGTGGACAAAGGAAAAAAACATTTAATTTCTGACTTTACGTCAAACCAGGAGCACGTTGCTAATGTTTCTGAGCAAACTAAGGAATACAAGTTTATAAAGTGAAATTAACTTCTGTTATTCAATGGCTTCCAAGAAGATTAGTTTTTATTTACCTATCACTCCAAGCTCCGTTCCATTCTACTTGTCCCCAGGGATTTCTGAGCCGCACCAGTTTTATCTTCTCCCCTTTAAGTGTTACCTTGATTATAGGAAAGGGAAGAAATGCATAATTAGAAATACCCTGAAATATCATAGTATATAACTCCTTACAGATTCTGACCTGTGGCATGCAGGGGAAAACATCTGGTCAGTCAGCTAAATCAGCCAAATCAACCTGGAGGTAATAGATATCACAACCAAACCAAATGTGGATATTAGTGAAATTTCCTTATTTCTCCCAAGGTTATTTATGTTCCACCAATAGTAATAAGCATCAATTCCTTTTTTTAAAATAATGAAATTGCTTGGTACAAAATCTTGTATAGGAAGACAAAAATTTGTTAATTGATGTCAGGTTTGTTGATTAAGAAATAGAATTCCATACTCACGTCTTCTACACCTGTGACTGAATATGCATGGCCTGTGACCAGTCCATTAGTCATGCGCCTTTCATACAACATTGGAATGATGGTCTGTTAAAAGCAGAAAAAGATTGTCAGGATCATTAGAGGACCTATATAAGGCCAACAGTTTACTTCTTGGTCAGATGTGCTCACAACATCTAATTCTGGGTTTAATTATCATCTACAAAACTATTTATCATAGAATCAAGAGCTGTAGAAGTGGAAGGAGAAGCATTTTCATGTCCAATGCTTTGTTACTGTTGGAGACTAACCATCACAGTTGACAGGAGGAATCAAATGGGGAATTATTATGTCATTATGTAAGTTCAAGAGGACAATTTCTGAACCCATCTCTTGAATGCCATTGGACTTTATATAGTACTTGATAATGCATGTGCACTCTAGTTTCACTGGGGAAACAACAGAAAAATGCCCCAATAGAGTATAATTTAAAAACCAAGTGGTTGTCTGCTAATTATTATTGAGTAGATAATTCCAACTTCATTAATCATAATATTCTAAAATTCCAGTGCTACAACTTGAACCTAATGCAAATCTTTCAGGAGATGCATTTGGAAACGATGGCATAAAAACCACATGGTTCTTACTGGCAATAAATTTGAGTAATGCATACCCGGGTTGTTCTGTCTTCTGTTTCTTCAGTTGACTCATTCAAAAATTCAAAATTCATCTTCTGCAACTTTTGGGCAATGAATTGTCCAATATCAGTTGTAGGGGCACTTCCATAAATAAATCCTGAACTGTCCTAGCATAGAAAAACAGAAAGGAAAAGTAGGAAAATATTATGAAAAATAAGGCAGTGATATAGCAAAATGCTGAATAATAACTGAATAATATTATTATTGAATAAAGTGTACCTTTACCAACAATGCCTAACAACATGAAATCTCTTTAGTTTAATTTTTATATGTTGTTGAACATTTAAGCAGAATATTCAGAATATATATTTTATGAGTATTGTTTTTAACGTGTTGCTGGATATTTATGTAGAGTATTTAAATAAATGCAATGGCACTATAGTTGTGATGGTGAACCTATGACACGTGTGCCACAGGTGGCATGCAGCGCACTCTCTGTGGGCATGTGAGCTGTTGCCCCAGTTCAGCTCTGCTGCACATGCATGCACACCTCCTGCTGGCCAGCTGGTTTTTGGGTCTCTGCTGAGCATGCACAGGGGCAGGGCATGTGCAGGGGGCACACATACATTGCATTTTGGGGGTTTAGGGGCATGTTTATGCCGCATTTTGGGTACTTGGTCCGGAAAAAGTTAGCCATCACTGCACTATAAGATCAAATAAGGCACATATCTGAAATCCACCTAATAGAAGGCACAAACACCCCATCAGAATAGATGGAGATGTTTGTTTACATCTTTAATGAAGTTCCAATTTAATCATAAATCTTTTCTTTTTCATCTGGCCTCGAAAAAAAACTATCTTCTTAAATCCCAGTACTACTCTATTTTAGATTTCTATAGGAGGAAAAGCTGACATCCTATGGAAAGTCTTGAAGGAAGCATGGGGTGATAACTGGGAATGCTGGTGAAAATCTTGTGGCAATACGGGCGGCGAAATGTTCGCATTTTGCCGCTCTTATTGCATCCGCTGAATTGCGCCCAGCCGCCTTGTTTAGGATAACCCGCTTCCTCCTGAAAGGGAGGGATGCAGATGAACCTTTACAAGGTAGAGCTGAGGAATTTGTTCAGTATTTAACGGATAAAGTCGCTCGGATTCGGACAGACCTGGACTCCAATTGCACGGTACCAGCCGAGGTACCGGGGGAAGGTCTTGAGCGGAGTTTATGGACTGAGTTTCAACTTGTTGCACCTGAGGAAGTGGACAAGGCCATGGGAGCGGGGAGCGGTGAGCGCCTCCACTTGTATACTGGACCCGTGCCCTTCCTGGCTGGTTTCAACCAGCAGGGAGATAACACGCGGCTGGATCCAGATGATAATTAACACCTCTCTCCGGGAGGGATCCTTTCCGCTCCTCTTAAAGGATGCGGTGGTGAGACCCCTCCTGAAGAAACCGTCTCTGGACCCAGCCACGTGTCACCTCCCTGCTGGTCGAAACCAGCCAGGAAGGGAACGGGTGCAGTATACAAGTGGAGGTGCTCATTGCTCCCATGGCCTTGTCCACTTCCTCAGGCACGACAAATTGAAACTCATTCCATAAACTCCGCTCAAGACCTTCCCCCGGTACCTCGGCTGGTACCGTGCAATTGGAGTCCAGGTCTGTCCAAATCCGAGCGACTTTATCCGTTAAATACTGAACAAATTCCTCAGCTCTACCTTGTAAAGGTTCATCTGCATCCCTCCCTTTCAGGAGGAAGCGGGTTATCCTAAACAAGGCGGCTGGGCGCAATTCAGCGGATGCAATAAGAGCGGCAAAATGTGAACATTTCGCCACCCGTATTGCCACGAGATAGGCTCTGATATAGGCTCTCATCAGTGCTCAGTCTGACTCAGATTTACTGGCCCTCCAGCAGCGCTCTAGGCATCTATTTTGGCG